CTGTTTTCATTAGTGTAATGAATCACTGTTAGTGACTAGATCTCTTGCTGGTGTAAAGCATGAGTTACACTAATGAAGTCATTACAGTGAGACATATTTTTAACAAAAAAAGTGATTAATCCTGAAAAAAAAATTTTCAGCACTTGATATCTTGAGACTAAAACGAGGCACTTCTTCCTAAGAGTTGTCCTAGCCAGATAAATAATAGTGTTTGTCGTGGGGTTACTTGAGAGAGATACAGTGGCTTCAGTAATACTAGCTGAATGATCCAATGAGCTCTTCTCACCTTAAAACCTCTATGTACTTCGCTTACGTATAATACAGCGAGGCCAGAATCCAATTCTATTTATCATTAGAAGCTACCTTTTATTCACACTGTTATAAGTTTTTTCTTCTTTTTTTTCTTTTAATAGGAAGACCATTGGAGTTTTCTGTTGTGGACCAAGCAAAATGTCTAAGATACTTCATAAACTGAGCAACAGCAACAACTCTTACGGGACAAGGTTTGAGTACAATAAAGAATCCTTCAGCTAAAGTCTGTTTGACTAGCAAGACTCTCTGGAAGATAAAAGTGCAATTTTTTTTTTGTACAACTTAAAAGTTCATCTGTGGTTTAAACAGACAGAAACGTACCAAAGAATAGCACAGATGTTTTTATTTATGATTATTTAAGACTGGTGGATGCAGCAATATATCAACAATAATCAGTGCTTATACTCAAACTCAAATGAGCTCACAAAATATTTGTTGCAGGAGTGATTCTTTGGAGTTGTTTCTGTTAATGAAAAAGTACAGAAGCTCGGGAGAAACACAGCTGCTTTAAAAGCTGATGGAAGAAGAATCTGTGGAACATTTGAACTTCTTCCACTTCAGTCCTCTGAAGCTGAGTTAGTAAACCAAACCCCAAGTTAATCCAAATGACAAATCATAGTGTATTACAAATTCTCTTGCTTTTGTTGGTATACAAATCTCATGGCTTTGGGGTGAAAACACTCCATATTAAAGATCTTATTATACATTGCAGAACTGGGATTCTGTATTTAAAATATAGAGTGTTACTCTCACTAGTCTACTTCTGTAATGGAGTTACTTAAGGAAAATTGAGCACAACTGTGTAGCACCAGTGGGCAGCCTCCACCATGATGTCAATCACAACCTTTTGGCAAGCAAGCAGCTGTACATGGAGAATTCTCTATATTGCATCAATTCGGCATTCAGTGAGTTTGCAAAATAAGTATGATTTATGCATCCAGAAAGATGGAGCAAGAAAAGCAATGAACAGGAACAGACAGGATCTGAAGTTTTGTTATGCCATGCACTCAACATGGAAGTTGCACTCACGCTGCACTCAAGTCCCCTGAATGTCAAACACATCTAGCATTCAGATGCTCTTACTGATTATTTTACAATGCAGCAGGTGGAAATACAGTTTTAGAGGTCCCAGAATATGTAGGGTTCACTGTGATCCTTTGAGTGCCTTCCCTGGAGCTACCCTTGTCTGCCCTGATGTCACTGAAATCAGAATGAGACCAGATCTACAGCAGAATAAGAACAAAGCCCTCAGCACTGTGGCTCCTTGGATGATGTGTGCAAATAGAAACCTTGCAGAAGCTGCAGTTTGCTTTCAGTATTCCAGAGGGGAAGATGGGAAACATGCAAATTTAAACTCTCCTTCCCTTCTCCTCCCCACAGCTGCTTTCTGCTCGTAATTGCCGTGGAAGGGCTAAAGGTTGAAACAGGCACTTTATAACTCTTTGTTTCTGATGAGCACCTTTTTTTCTTTCATCCAATAGCCAGTCTAACTTTATTTCTTCTTTTCTCGCTTTTCTTTTTTCTTGCTGAGAAAAGGACATTTAACCAGGAATCAGACGGTTGGCTGGCATAAATAGGCACCACTCTTGTGCCTCTTAACAGAGCAGCATCATGTTAACATGCTGAAAACCTGCCTCTTGATCTCCAGCACAAGCTTGGGAGCAGTACTGTGTAGTGTTTGCAGCATACAGAGGCGGAGGATGACTCAAGAACTCTCGTGCCTGTGGTTCACCTGTATTTAGCACAGTGCATTTAATTTCATTTGCATCTTTTCCAATTAAGATCTTTTTTATTTCCCTGTGAAAGACAATTTTTACAACACCAACTCTGTACAGGAGTCTGCAAGTATCAATGTCAGTGTTCAAAGGCAGGAATTTTTCTAGTAGGTGGTGTATAGGCATGTTGTATGTGTAACTAGTGAGAATGAGTTTGATCTTTGCCTCGGCAACTTCTGCTCAGGAGTTGCACTCAGGGAGCAGCAGGGTGGAGGTGCACCAGCAAAGTTACATGGGAACATGTTTCACAGTGTCTGGACTTGCACTGAAGTTTTTACTGCTGGCTCTGCCCAATTTGAAATTCAGGGAAGAAGGAAAGAACCAGAGATGGACAAATTTCTACTGATGAGAATTCTCAAAGCCCAGATGAGAGAAGCAGTGTGAGATGAGAACCTACATTACAGCTACTGATTTTAATTTTTTTCTTTTTGAGTCTGGAAGGACCATTCTTTTCCACTTGAATCTTGCTCATCTATCAGTGTAAAACTGGAGGTATGCAGCAAAGGATTAGATTCTTTGTAATCAGTAAGATTTATTTCCAATACTGCCTGCATGGATTTTATAATAAGCATAACACTAATGGCAAAATGCACAGATACTGGGTATTGCTGGTCCTGCAGACTTTTTTGTTTTCTGGCAGTTAGCTTAAAGCATGATTGAAATCATGGTTGCATCTATTAACCACAGCCAGTGATCTTTTTCTCTTGTTTCAGGATCTAGTATCTCATGCTTTTTAAATACAGTTTAGAGTCATATAATCGCAGTGCTGTTTGTGGGTTCACATCTCCTCTCTGATAGATATTGGTTCCATTAGCATATAATGAGCAGCTAGTTTTGCAGTTAGCTCTGTGCTGAAGCAGATTATATTTTCTGGCTCAGCTTCTGTGTAGGTAACATTTTATAATTGAAATAGTAATACTAGTACTGTGCTCTTGTTCTGCATTGTAGCAGGAGTTGACAGTGTGTGTAGGCATGTTAAACGCCTGTTGTTAGATTAGGCAGTGCTGTCACAGCAAGATCTAAGCAGATCCAGGCCCTCCTCTTTCTGTCTTTGCACTGTACCAGCCTCAGCTGACCCACTTGTAAAACAAACCCTGGACTGTCTGCCTTTGTGGAGTGTTCTGAGCCTTAATTAATGTTTTGGGATCACTTCGGTGCACTAGCAATGAAAAGATCTGTTTAAGTGCTATGCATATGTCCTTGTGTTTTATTTTGAGTAAACCTTTCAATTGCTGATATGAGTAATTGCTAGCCCAGGTGAGGGTGAGTTTGGGGAAAGTCTAAAAGCCTGGGTTGCTTTTTTCCTCTTCTTTGAACTATGCTTTTGTTAGATGAGCAAAAGGTTTAAGGGTTAATGACTGTGACTTGGCTTCAGAAATGGCAGATATTATGGTAAACACTATATTTCTACAGGCTGTCTTGTCCTTGATGTTTCTGAGTATGTCTCCAGCTTGCAAAACAAAGTCAAGTCCTCATTTATACTCCATCACTTTTTTATCTGTAAGCCAAGTGAACGTGAAAATACAATTCAGTGTCAGACAAGTAAGTGAAGGCTGACAGCACTTAATTCCACATTTACGGACAACTGGATTTACGTAATTGAGCGTCTCTTTGCACTTTAAACTGTGTCCTGTGAGTCCATCATAAGTTTCCAAAAAAAAGGGGAAGGATTATGTATTCTGCCACTTCTCACTCAGTCTGTCACAAAACTGCAGACCTCTCAGTGTTTGCTCAGTAGGATCTTTGTATTTTATTCATCAGAAATGTGTTTTTTTAAACCAGGACTGTTTCCATGCCATGGTGGAAACCAAACCCT